GGAACCTCTGGATTTAACTGCAAGTTCAAACTACGTATAACCCGAGCATCTTTACCACCTACATCAGTCTACCACCAATGAAGCATTCAGAAACAATTAGAACGTTCTAGAAAGTCTGCAGTGACTTTTACTCAAGAACAGACTCTGGATACTTACAGTAACATTTGCTGCATAAAAACACATCTTCGAGCTCCACAGTGTTACATTGTTACATTTGGGTTGTAATTTGCAGAATGTTGGAGTTCTAATAGTACAGGCCATGCTGATGTTAAAACTAATCAATATTTATATTTGTATAAATCTAACGGTTATCTTACAAATTTGGGCTCCCTATCAATGCTTACTTGGTAAGTTGATATTCGACTGAGACATTTAGGCTAATGTGTTCCTCTTAAAGTGCAAAAAATATAAAAATCCCCAAACAAATTAAAGCAGAAGTACAGAAAACAATCATGTGGTACCATTAGGAGCAAAGTGACTGACAAAAAATTAGAATGAGAGACATAAGAAAAAACATACCTGTGTGTCCATGTGAACCCCAGTCAGTAGGATGAGGATTAAAGGCAGATTAAAGTTCATATTATTGCAGTTTTATTGGTGCACCCCCTACCCAGATAATGGATGCAGTGCTGCGTCTTTTATAGCAGAGCTTTTATAGAGGAACTGTGCTTTTCTCAGAAATACCTTTGTCATAATGCTGGGATATTTTAACACTAACAGATGCAGCATCATAGCCAAATGCACAAACTAGATAAAATAAAACATAGCAATTTGATTTTCCCAAAAACACATTTTATTCATTAGTGTGGAAATTTCACAACAATTTTCTTCTCATGACTCCCAGCTTGTTCTCAGGAGCTGTCACTGTTCTTTCTTTGTGTTTCCCGTCTCTGTCATCATCACATTTACCGTCAGTCTGCATGTCTGAGTTGATATTTAGTTTTTCAGTGTTTCTTTGTTTCACTTTGAAGGTTTTCTCGTTTCTCTTGTCGTGGCTTTACTTTGTAGCTGTGCCACATGTCATATCTAACAGACTCTTTAAATGAGACCCTGAGGCAGCGATGTCTTATTTAGTTAAATGCTGCTCCCTCAGCTCCTTGTGTCTCTACCTCACCTCCTCTGCCCTCATCATTAGTGGTAGGGACTAAAACTGGAGGTGAGGAGCTGAGAGGAAGAGTTGAGGATGTGCAGTTTGAGAAATGAGGAGGAGCGTTGTTCTTTGGACTTTTTGGATTGGCCGATAAAACCTTGTTTGGTTTGTTAACTTTAATCTTCCTACATTTGGATGGTCACTCCATCTCAAACACAGACGTTCTAACAGTTGGTTACCTCTTCTGTGTCTTGGTCTTTTGTCCAACCATGTGTTTAATGTTAGGAAAATAGGGGAGTATTATTCTTTCTGTTGGTACAATCAGTTTGACCACACTGTACCTGGGTGTGGGGGCCTCGTCTCAGGAGTTACAAGACTGGTTAAAGTTAGACATGATCTGTTATATTAATTAATGTTGACTTCTTATTTATTGCCAAAAAACTCACTTGAGTTGTGAATCATACAAAGAAGAAAGATTATAATCCTTCTTTGGTGAAATTTGCTCACAGCTCATCTCAGGTCAAATGGGGAGATTATGATACTATATGTGTGTATACTTATTGCAGTTTGCAACTACACAAAATGAAGCTTTAACCTATGCAGATGAGTTCTCCAATCACATGTAGGTCCACGCAGATGCTGAATGTTGATTGGTTAAACAATTACCCAGAACAGGAAAGGTGGTAAGGGACTAACAATGGAGTTCACAATGTAGGACAGGGGTGTCGAACTCCAGACCTCGGGGGCCGGTGTCTTGCAGGTTTTAGATTTCACCCTGGGTCAACACACCTGAATCAAATGATTAGTTCATTCCAGGCTTCTGGAGAACTTCAGGACATGTTGAGGAGGTATTTTACCCATTTAAATCAGCTGTGTTGGATCAGGACACATCCAAGTGGACACTTTTCACTCTAATGCTCTGTTTTGCTTCAGCTCTTTGTATGTTCAAACTTCAGTCTTCTTTGAAAGAACAGCACAAGCTGGCCAGTTGTTTGTGAGACTGCCCCCTGGTGACAGTAAGCAGTTACAGCACTTGTCAGTGATGGTGTGGAAAATAAAGCATCTTGGACATTTCACACTAGAACAGTGGTCCTTAACCTTGTTGGAGGTACCGAACCCCACCAGTTTCATATGCGCATTCACTGAACCCCTCTTTAGTGAAAAATAAAATGTGATTTTTTTCAAATTCAAGACATAGATATGTTTTTTACTGGTGCACAAAATGAGCCATGCATGTGACGGCGGAGGCTCTGCTGAACCCCTAAAATCCGACTCACCGAACCCCTAGGGTTCGATCGAACCCAGGTTAAGAACACTAAGCACTAGAACCATTTACATACTTTGTGAAACTTTTTTAGTTTTTAGAAATCCTAATAGACTCCACTTTTTCATAAAAATGTGGAGTCTTCTTCACACACAAAGGAGAATTGCATGCTTCCCCTAGGCAGTATCATTAGGAGGCATAAGATACACTTTCACTGCTATGCAGATGACACCCACCTTTATCTATCCATGAAGCCAGATAACACACACCAATTAGTTAAACTGCAGGAATGTCTTCACCTCCTAGGACCTGGCGTCCACATATGTGGACATCACATTTTGGGATGTCTAGACCAAAATACTAAATTTTGCTCTACAAGTGCCTGATATCCACTTACAAGGACGTTTTACTGCTACTGTTCTATCGAAATTTAAAACGAATGTCCTCTTATGTGGATCTCATTTTTCTCAGAAACAAAAATGGTAAATGGCCTGTATTTGTATAGCGCTTTACACTACATTCAGTCATTCACCCAGTCACACACACATTCACACACTGGTGATGAAGCTACATTGTACCCACAGCTGCACTGACTGCACTGACAGAGGCGAGGCTGCCGGACACCGGGCCCTCTGACCACCACCAAATCAGGTTGTAGACACTAAATGCAGCTGTAGCTTCAAAGAAAACTGAAAAGTGAAGCCAGCTAAAGTTCTTAAACCTGTGGACTCTGTTAATAACCACTAGGAGGCAATAACTATGGATGCAAAAAGATTTCCAGTCCTATGGAAGTGCACAGGAAAAATGGCCCTGAGCCCTGATGAGTTTATGGGCTCAGTCACTCATTCTGGGTCACATTAAATAAAACTTAATTTCATTTTGTGTCCATTTTGATTATTCTGCTTTTTAGAATGGAAAACCATTATTATCAGAACACTAAGATCATTTCAAGGCTCCATATCCAGACTTCACTAACCAGCAGGTGTGATCCCTCTGGCTGTATTTGTCCAAGGTCCAGTCTCTACTTGGCTGTCCATTGAGTTGTGTTACTCTGCATCCCTGTTCTGTGGAGCCCCACTCACCAATGTTAATCTCATACTGCTCAATATCTTTGCACATAAGAAATGTCGTTTTATTATACAGTACTTGTATTTATACTATACAGACAAAAGTACTGGCCACTTGCATATTAAACCTACAGAAACTGCTTCTCCATGCACACCCATGCCATGAAGCTGCTGATGCAGAGTTTGTGTGCTGAGGTTTATGCCAGAGGAGGTACTGTGTTTAGCAACAGCAAGAAGGTCGTTGGTTCAAATCCAGTCTGGAGCCTTTCTGTGTGGAGTGTGTATGTTCTCCCAGTATCTCTCTGGATAATCCAGCTTCCTCCTAAAACGTGCACGGTGTCAGGTTAATATGTGACTTTAAATTGAACATAGATGCGAATGGTTGTTTGTCCCCTTGTGTTGACTCTGATGCAGACGTGTCCAGGATGCCTCTCTCCTGTCACAGCCAGGAGAAAATGGATGGAGGTTTGGAATTCTGCAGCTATCGAATCAGCAGAGCGACTGTCATGCGCTACATCTCTCAGCAACCCTGCTCTGTAACTTTACACGATCTGCCACTTCACTGAGTCTGAGTTGCTGTGGTTCTTAAACACTTCCACTGATATCACTTGCAGCTGATGTGTAGGAGGGTACGCTTTGTGTCATCCTCCTGTGGAAAAATGGACTGAAAACACTCAAATATTAAAAGGTTTGGCCCAACACCTCTGTCCATATAGTTCATTATTTAAAAATCCTACTCCATGAAATTTTGAATATGCTGTACTTTGTACAACATAATATTTATTCTAAAGCTCTAGTTGCTTTTTTTGCTTTGCAGTTTTCTCTGCTAATCCAGTCCAGAGTCACGGTTGGCCTGGAGCCTATCCCAGCTGTCACAGGCAGGGCAGGGCACACCTGCCAGGACTAACACAGAGAGACGGACAGCCACTGACATCCACACTCACACTGTGGGTGGGTGAATCAGCCCATTAACCAAGCATGCATGTCAGTGGATTTAAACCCAGGACTGCAACAGTTTTAAAATAATCTCAATCCAGAATATATAATTCAGTATTAGACGTTTTCCACACATGAAAGTCATTAGTTATAATCCAATAATATGAATAGTATCCTGCACAATGTGTAGTTTTAATTGAAGTTATCACTTAAGCAGCAGTTTATCTAAGTGAAGAGTATTTTTCCCCACTTTGGAGCCACTTTTCATCTAATACCATCCGTATTAGAACAATCAGGAGAATCTATTTATACAACTACTTTCTTCCACGTGTTTCCTCTGGTCCTCCGTGGGTTCTCGGTGACCCACGGTAGGCGCCACTAAAGAGCAAGAAATTGATTTTAAATAAATACCTGATCCTGCGCAGGCCTGTAATTCTTCTTCGCGGGGTTTTTGCTGGCATCGTTAGAGTTCATAGGTTTCTTGTTGTTTGTTGAGTCGCTCACTTGTGTGTGGTGAGATGAGGGAGGGGTTTGGGGGTTGGGTTCTTCATCCTCCTCCTCCTCCTGTCCCTCCATGTGTTCGGACTCACATGGTGACGTCACACAGGGCTGGTCTTGCGTTTATTAGCCAGCGGAGCCTGGTGCCAGGTTGCAAGAGCTACACACTGCGGCTCTGTCCGGTCACGGCAGAGAGGGGTGTCCTACTAACTTCACCAAAACTTTCACGAAACTCAGTCATCAGAAAAACACTGACTGAATGACAAAAGTGTCGCAACTCGCTTCACTCCTGCTTTAATGAAACTTTAACTACTTTATGTTGCTTCTTATTTTTTCTGATTTTTACCTAAGACCGAGGCACTGGCCGCACATCCAGTTTGATAAGTTTTGAATGAGCCGGGTCACGTTTGCGTAAAGATTTTTGTCTCTTTTCCCCCCTTATTTTAATTTCACGTTGGGATAACGTTTTTTGTTTTTTGTCATTTAAGACTCGTGATGGCTGTCCTGTCACTAGCTTTACTACTTGTAGGACTGACTTCAGCTGCCAAGGTAAGTGTCTGCACCGCTTCGCTTTTGCCTCCTTTTACGCATATAAATAAATAAATACGCGCAGTTTGACTGAATCTCGTCAATATTAAACGAATTCAGCTGTAAAGCGGAGAAAAAGTGGAACGACACAACTACAAGGCTCTAAACTTTCGGCTCTGTAAACTTGAACACTTCTGTGAAACACACGTTGACACTGCAGACGTCTGAGTTTTGCCCTTTGGATGTAAAACAGGTATTTTCGGACTTTTTACAAGCAGCGCGGCTCACAGAAAACTCCAGAGCTGTTGTGTTGTTACCGCTGGACATCTCAGACTCTGATCTATCATTTCCTTCTGGCGTGTGCCGCATTTAACGAGCTCTTTTCTCTCTTTTACAGGCTGGTGAAGTAGATAGAGAGGGTAAGTCTGGCTTTATTTGTGTTCGTTTTGTTAATAATTAGATGTGTGTAGAAAAAAGGCAGAGGAGTCTCTCCCCAGGCAGAGAAGAAACTCATGAGGACAACTTGGTTCACTGAGATCAAAGTGGGAGGCGAGTTTGTGTGTGAGGAGCTCTGTAATATACCCCCTCGCCCTCCCCTAGCACCCTACACACAGAGTCCTCTATCACACATACACACTTATATTGCATGAGCAAGCTGCTTCAAGGGCTTTGTTATACAGGAAAGAAAATTCCTCCTCGAGATCCTGAACATCTGTTATTCATTCTGAGGTTAAGGAACAAGTGAGCTGCAGCAGTGTCCACGTAGGATCCTTTTACACCGGCCCTTATCTTCTGAACGCCTCCGGGGCCCTCACACAGCAAGATGACAGCTGACTGCGGGCTGAGCATTTGTGGTTCCCCGTTGCTTGTAGTGAGCCACTGTTTGCTCCATGTGGTCATTATTGGCCTTGTAAAGCAGTTTCCTTGCTCATTTGGCGAAGCCTTTCTTAATTTGCCACTTCTGTAACTTTTACAAGCAGATTTCTTTGGCTTAGATTTCATTTTCTCTGATCTCATATAACAGATGAAAAAGTAAATCTTGTGGATTTTCCTGTTGGTTCTGTTACTATTTGTAAAACTGAGTGAGCTCAGGTTGAATTGTAAGGGATGGGAAGCAGAAGGTAAACATGGGGAGGACATCAAGCAAAAGGTAATTTCTGCTGAAATATAATGAAGCAAATAAAATTCTTTCCTAGTGAAGGTCAGACCCTGATTGGTTTTATGGTTAACTCCTGACGATCATCCTCATTCCCAGGGCATCAAACGCTGCCTTTGGCCTCTTTTAAATGCATCCAGCAGTGGCAGCTGTAACTTGTCACGTATGGCTGCGTGGTCAGGATCCTTCGACGTCACATTTAAATCCACTTGTGAGTGTAATTTCTCAAAAGGCAGGGTTAGAGTTGTGAAAAGGAATATTTCATCCCTAAACTGAGCTGATTGAAAACAAACTCTCCTTGCTGTTGGCAACCAGTATCACCAAGGCACGTGTCGGGGTGTAAAGCATAATTATATAACTGTAATGTAATCGCATTACAAATTCAGTAATTAATTATGTTGTTACTCTTGTGACAAAGTTTCTTCAGTTATTTGGATAGAAAGAAAGAAAAAACACACCAAAAAAGCCGAAAGTAACGAGTAATTTAGTAATCCATTACTTTCCTTGGAATACCTCTATGATGTCACCTGTGTGTGAGTGCTAAATGGTTTCACATTCCCACCTCACCTCTCTGTTCCAACATTTGTTGTGATTATGTCCATCGTATGTTCGTCTCATCTGAGGGGCTAAAATGTCTCATTGCAGCCAGCAGGTGACCGAGGGGCGGGGCAACACGAATAAGCTGCAAAGCTGTTCTAGCAAAATTTAAGAGTAAAAGTACAGAGTTGGAAATTTGCATTATGAGATAAATTGTTGCTTCCACCAAATTTCTTGCCGATGTCTTGATCAACATTTAATGAATCTTCTTCATGAGAAAGTCCACTTTTCTCCACAGTAAGAGCAAAGTTTGATTTAAGCTTGAAAACATAAACAATGGAAGAGAATTGTCCCACTTGACTGTAGTTTTATGCAGGTCACTGTGAGTTTAGCCTCAGCTTTCTGTCACCTGCTGTCTCCTGGTCCAGCTCCACTACCTTAAAGCTGCGGCGGTCAAAGCCATAAAGCTAAATCAGAGCTGTGCTTTGGTAAAGTCTTGTTACCTCCTCCTTCTTCTTCGATGATAGTTCATCAGTGCTCTGATAACATGTTGTCACATTCTTCATGTATTTACTGGTAGCATTTCAGTCAGCAAAAAGGATGGAAAAAGAGCCTGTTTGACAAATTTAGGGTTGCTGATTGTGTGTCTGTCTCATCTCACTGCATTTCCCTGTGAACAGGCTCCATCAGACTCAACAGCAAATTATAGCAATTTTATGCTGTTTAGATGGTTTGGTGACTCTAAAGAAAGTAAAAGGATCAAGAAAATTTGCACAAATGTGTATTTGATGACTCTAAGGTGAATAATGTTTTGGTTTTTATTTGTTATTTCCTTATTTCTTTGCTCTTGTCTGGATGTGTCAGGGCTCAGCTGATGCTAAGGCGTGTTTTTAACCACAGAGCCTATCAGCTGGTGGCAACTGAAAAATCAGTCCAAAGTGTTTTAGTAAGGTGGCGACACTGCTGGGGGGAGGAATGGCACCTCTATGAAACACCCTGTGATGTGGTGTTACAGTGATGGTGCTAGAGAGCGTTTTAAGTTTTTCCACAGTCTTTGGTAGAAATGTAGCTGGGACAGGCCACGGCACACGAGTCACACTCATTCATACCATTGAGTGAGGCCTCGGTACAGTTTTACTTTTTTATCTCATTTATTCACGATTTCTCTCTTTTGATTGGTCACTCGTCGTTATCTTGAAGCACCACTGTTTCATTCTGTGTAGAGAATCTGAAGGCAGTGCTGCCCAGTCCACAGCTTTCTAACCTTTGATTGGATTGTCCAACAATTCTTTGAGCAGCGGTTGGTGAGTTTGAGGTTGTGTGAAAGGCAATTTTCCAGCTCATTTCTTCAGCCTATAATGCTTTTAACTCTGTCCCCCATAAAGGCGACATTTGACGACCTCCCGTGTACTCAGCTTGTGGCGATCGTGGCTCAAGAGTTGGGAGTTCACTTTGTAATCGGAAGGTTGCCGGTTTGAGCCCCGGCTTGGACAGTCTCGGTCGTTGTGTCCTTGGGCGAGACACTTCACCCGTTGCCTACTGGTGGTGGTCAGAGGGCCCGGTGGCGCCAGTGTCCGGCAGCCTCGCCTCTGTCAGTGCGCCCCAGGGTGGCTTTGGCTACAATGTAGCTGCCATCACCAGTGTGTGAATGGGTGGATGACTGGTTGTGTAAAGCGCTTTAGGGTCCTTAGGGACTAGAAAAGCGCTATACAAATACAGGCCATTTACTCTTATGAGTTTTAAAATTCAGTATATAATAAAGATGTGGTTTGATGACCATTAGAATAGTTTCTGGGGGGTTTTCAGGCAGAGCCCGGCCTCACTTTGTTCTAAATGCAGGCTGAAATATGACAGAAACCTCCCAGAGCCTCGAGCATTACTCCTAGCAGGCTTTCAAGAGGTAAAGGGTTAAAGATGGATGATCTAAAAATGTGTTCAGAAACACTTGACTCCATCCATCCTTGTTGTGGTAACCTTGTTTCCTTGCTTTGCTTTCAAATATGGTCGGACTGCTCTTTGAACAGACTGGTTCATTTCCAGTTCACGTAAACTGTGATATTCAAGGTGCTGTTGAAGCACCCGGATCTTTCTTTGGTGTTTCATAGTTTAGGACAAAAGCTGCTTATTTCTAGCACAGTGCCTTTATCTGTGAAGTGGCAATTGATTGAATTTTCTGTGTTCAGTTTCACAAACTGAGGTAATACATCAGCCAATGAGCAGAGCCAAGTCTCTGAGGTGTACAATACCTCATATATCGCTGACAAATTAAAGGAAAAATAGTACGAAGTGTTTTACGGTAGTAAAGTGTCGACACTGACAGATGGAGGAATGTCACCTTTATGAAACAAACTCTGTGATGTTGTGTTAGAGAGCCATTTAAATTTTTCCTTTAAAATGTCCAGTCTTTGGTAGACATGTAGCTGGAGCGGGCATTTTTCACGATTTTTCTCTTTTGATTGGTCACTCGTCGTTACCTTGAAGCACCACTGTATCATTCTGTGTAGAGAATTTGAAGGCAGTTTTTTTTTCCTGATGGTTCCCACTAAGGTTTTATTTCTGTGTTTTGATTCATCAGCCTCTGTTGGAAGAGTCAGTCGATCAAATGCATGTCTCAGCTCAACTTTACGAAACTGCTGCCCATGTGCTTTGTATTTCTTTGTACATGTTTTGCTCTATATGGACAACTGCAGCAGAAGTTTGTGACATGTATATTTGTGGTGGTTGGATAAGATGAGCAGTGTCGGCGAGCCTTTCAGTTAAATGCCAGGATTTGATGTTGTCACACATCAAGAGCAAACCTGTGAAAAGGCAACATTTAGAAACAACATTCAGCAGCAATGCAAATGGAATAACTGAGAGCAGAGGGACCATCTTCCCTGATTAACTGGGAAGTCAGCTTGAAAGATCGCTCATTGTCTGCCCACTAGCCCTTAACCGCCAAGCCACAAACGTCGCTCTTTGCTTTTGTTACGCACATTTTCTTGTGGTCTGAAATTCTATATTCAACTCCAAATAGCAAACAAGACTAGAAGAGACAAAAAAAAGAGAGAAATCAAAGATAAAGTCAACATAACTATATCCAGAAAACCAGAATTATGGAGCTTAATTAGGATTAACTGCTGAATTTGAAGAAAGGTTGCTTTGGCTGATGTGTCAAAGTGCCACTGAGGCATAATATTTTTGATCAGGAGTGTATTCCAGTATTTCATTGCTGTTGCAGCTGGTCTGGCCCCTCATAGATGCTCTTTTGCATTTATTTGAAATGTGCTTTAGTGTGCTTCTGTACTATTGTCGCCAGAACTTTTTACTCTGACAGAGAGAATATAAGTTAATGGACACAGGACAGAAAAGAAATCAGAAAATGGATTTCAACTGACTCTTTTGTGACACTGAGGGATTTGTGTTTGAAGGTCTTTGGTGGGTAACCCTTGAGAATAGGGGTGCAACGATACTCGTATCGATATTGAACCGTTAGATACAGTGCTTTCGGTTCGGTACGCATATGTATGAACAATACAATTTTTTTTAATTTATTTTATCAACTTTCCTTCTGACGATGCTGTCTGTGTTGAGCGCTCAGTGGATCTGGGTTCGACTACTCCGCCTAGGCTGCACTGTCGAGTGCAGATCCACTGAGCGCAGCACAAGCTAGCAAGACAGAAGCTAAGCTCGCTGCAAGATGGCAAATTGAACCTCCCCCACCCTCATTCAGATCTGGCGTTTGGAATTATTTTGGTCGTCATGTGACGTATGACCCTGAAGGTAAGCGCGTCATGGACAAAAGTAAAACAGTATGTTGGATGTGCCATGCAATGCTCAATTGGTGGGAACTAGTGCGTTAGCGCAGTTAGCTTGTTAACGTGTTGACACTGTCCAGCCCCACACACGGGGTGATCCAGAGATTTGCCGCGTTATGGCGTCAACGAGATTAACGCTGACAGCACTAGTGGGAACACAACGAATATGACTGCACATTTACTCCGACATCATCTTAGTGCAAAGACAAGTGGAAGCAGACAAAAACAACAAGCATGCATGCTACAAACTTTACCGAGTCATTTAGACAGCCGTTAGCACAGGATTCTCCTTATGGGGACCTGATATGTTTAATATGCTGCTGAGAATATAGCCCAGAAGAAGAGTATAGTTTAGCTTTTATTTTGGAAAGAGCCATTTCTCTGTAATAAACTCTCTTTTCCAAAGATGAGGGATTTCTCCATCAGATTTATTATTTTATTACTTTGTTGTTTCAGCAACATTAAATTTAAAAACTGTACTTTTGACTTAAAATATATATTTATAATTTTAATAAATGACAAATTAAAAAGGCATGAACATTTTTTTTGTATCGAAAAAATATCGAACCGTGAATTTTGTGTATCGTTGCAGCCCTACTTGAGAGATATATTGTGAGTGCTGTGTGGTTGTATTCATTCAGTGTATTTCATCTTTTACTTGTATTGTTGGGACTCGTGCTTTTTGTAAGTAAAGCTACAGCCTTCCTGTTAGACGACCTTGTAAAACACCTGTATATGTTTCTGTTTCTTTTCTTTAAACTTCTCTCTTTTATGTATAAAGTCTGCGATTCTAATCGTGCTTCTTGTAAAGTATGTTTGTCTTACTTTGTTTTCATTTAGCACAAGTTGTTTGGGTCTAACATGTGCAGCTCTGTTCACTTACCTCATCGTTCCAGAGTGAATCTGTACCCTGGTCCGACAAACTTAAAGTAAATGTTCCCTTTAAGCAGAACATCTCGGTTTTCACACTCTCCACTGCAAATGGAGCTCTGTCAGATAATAATGGGAATACTGGGATACTCCAACAAAACACATCACACAGACAACAGCTGTAATTATGTGTAAAATGATCACTTAGTGAGAACAATACATGCAACAGGATGTTTTTATTTCTGTCATGCAGCCTCTGCCTGTGTAAGCAGGCATAAATAAACTCTGTCAACCTAATGAGGATGCTAAGTTAGCGAAAGGTGACCCGAAGTCTGATCGCTGCTGTGAGAGCGATGCTTTTTTTTCCACATTAAAGGAAACAAAAAGAGTGTTTAATTAAAAACCGAATACCTGCCCAGCAGAAGATTATTTTAGCTGGTAAATGTCTGGATCCAGTACAGTCCTCCAAAAAGCCTCTGTTCTCCTGCAGGTTTGGATCCGTTTTTGTGTTTCTACATGAGAAATGTGTTTTATTTTGCTTTATTTTGCTTTTAATTTCAATTTTATTTTAACTGTTAAAGAAAACCAGTCAGCTTGTGTATAGATATACAGTATTATACACCATCAAACACTCACAGCCAGAGACATTTACTGTTTAACGTCTCAATTAAAAATAGCTGCAGTTGAAATCGGACTTTGTGCTACATATGGATCTGGTTGTTTTTGACACATCATCAAACCGCAGTCAAGTTGTTCTTTTTTTCTGTTTGCGTTTACATTTTGTGGAGCACGCTAACCGCAGTCATATTTGCGCTAAAAGCCTTTTTGTGCATTTCCAGTTTAAGACGTTTCCCGCGATCCGGCAGCTGTGAGGTGTGACTTTGTAGTAGCACACATTAACAGTGATATCAGCGGGCGATTTGTAGTCTTAGGCGAACGATCTGAATCCAGAGCAGGAACGACGCACTACATCAAACATCAAAACGGGCGTGGTTACCTGAAAATATCATGACAAGTTTAATCGATAGAGACGTTGATTTATATCCAATCAGTGCTTAAAATCAAAATCTGCATGGCTTTAAAAACATAGTCCTGTAAGCGGGACAAATGACTCTTTATATTAGACGTCTTCCTCATGAGGATTAAGCAGTGAAAGCCTGCTCTTTAAACACACACTAACAAGCTGAACACATTTCTGGCTTCTTTTTGATGCTCTGTGTCTTTTCATTGCTTAAATGCACTCTGTGGAAAAATATGTAGTACTCGGTACAACTGATGTAATTTTTTCCAAATATTTCAGTATCGGGCAGCTAACTGTGCGCCTTCCTTGCTTTGCAGATATAGTAATGTCAGGATGATGTAACAGGGAGGGAAAAAGGATTTAGATGTTTGTTTTAAGTTCAAACCCACAGTTTTCACGCTTTTTTTCGCCTCATCTCTTGGACTCCATGCTTTCATGTGCTCCATCGGTACCATTGTCATGCTTTGGCGTCATGAAACCTGCAGTCTTTGCTTTGAATGCTTCTAAAATAGTCTTTTCTTGCCATCACATGCATCCACGTGCATGCTCACTGTGATTGTGTGAAGTCACGTCCTCAGATATGTAATTTTAGCTTCCCCATTGACACCTGTTTGATGTTTTCTGGTCAAAAGCAGCAAGATAATTACACGCTTTCAATATTCTTGTTAGATTTTTTCCAACCAAAGATTCTTGGAAAAGCAAACCAAGCTCGGATGGAATTTTCCTAAATCTGAAAGTGTTTGAGAAAGCCCACAGATTTTCTGGTACATTTGGGTTGACCACAAATGTGCCAATGAACAAGGAAGTGGGTGAAACAAAGCAATATGTTAAAACAATGGCACAGGTGAAACTGGCTTGTGCTGGTGTTACATTTTTTTGTGTTGAAGGCCGGCACAGCTCAGCAGAAGAGCAACAACGGTGAGAAAATAAGTGTTTTCTGACAGAATCAGAATCATAATGAGTACGAAGCAACACCAGTCGTCCTGAAATTCACAGCAAGCCCAGTAGTAACCGACACCTACGCTGCTCAAGGTCGTCTTTAAACCTGGCTCATCTATATTTCAGTGCAGTGTCATATGCAAGATCACACATAACATATTCTGGTGTTGATCCATGTGGCAGCAGGACAGCAGAATATGCCTCGTGGGAAGCCACACAGAGTCCTGCTGCTGTGATACAGCTGCTACTTAGGCAGTAGCACAGTAGCAGAGTTTAGACGTGAGCTCAGCAGCGCTGTAGTTCATTATCCACGGTGAATGTCTTTGTTTTCGTCTGGAAAATGATCATTTGAAATTGGTGTGACACATCGAAACCAAAGAACGTGGAGTGATACGATCCACGCAGACAGCGGTGTTTCAAAACGTCTGCCAATCCTGGAGGTTTCACAATCAGTGAGGGCAGCTGTGTTTCCCAGAGATATGAAATGTGGGAATAGTGAGGATTAAACACAGAATCAGGTGTGCTCATAGTTCCACTGTAGACACGACACCGGTGCTGTAAGTTTGTCCCATTGTTGTTGTTCTCAGAGTATTTTGTCGCTCTGCCCGTGACATAAAGCAGGGTCAGGGATCCTCGTCCAAGTGAAAGAAAATATAACCCCAACACTGACGCTTACTCCCATCTGGGTCTTAGATGCCTTTGAAACTATGCAAGTGTCCTATTAGCATTTCTGTTGGCCTAATAATGTGTCTCAGAGAGTTTTAGCTCAGTCAGTCTGGCTCTCAGCTGTGGTGTTCTAGTTCTCTCTCGTTGGACTAAGAAGGTAAACGTGGTGAATCAGTTAGTCCAATATTTTGTTTTTGAGTTGGCAGAGACAGAAAAATGAAGGTCCAAATGTTAGCTGACAGGAAATCAAGTCCAAGTGTTCTTAAAGGTTTGCCATGAATGTCAAAGCTCGTCCTGTCTCAGAGGAACATTAGTTGGCTAAAAGTGATAAAAGGATGATTAGAGCAGGCAGCATAATCAGGCCTTGGCTGACTGATGTGTTTAGAGGAAAAGACTAATTTGATATTGTTTTATTGCTGTTTGGAAAAACTAACTTTGCTGGGTTCTTGTGGTTTTTTGCAGACCAGTTGAAGAGCCGGCTGAAAGAATACGGCCTGGTCACCCCCTTCAGCACCGACTCCCACGGACACTACCTGTCACACCTGCTCTCCGCCACTCACAAGCAGCGTGTTAAGAGGGAGGTGCTTGAAAACGGTGAAACTGAACAGAGGCTTTTCTTCAACATCACTGCCTTCGGAAAGGAGTTTCACCTTCGTCTGCGGCCGAACAGCAGGCTGGTGGCGCCTGGCGCGATGGTGGAGTGGCATGACGAGGTCCCGGGATTCAGAAACGGCAGTGGTGGCAACGATTCTAGCGTGGGCGCCAACCAGACTGAATCCACCAATGGCACGGAGAGGATACTGCGCCGTGAGCTGCTCAAGACCGACTGCACCTTTACCGGTGACATCACAGACGTCCCCGGGGCCTCGGTTGCCATTAACAACTGCGATGGGTTGGTAAGTTTCCTCGGCCGTAAAACTCCTTCCTTTCCCACCCCATGAAAGTCCTTTTCATTTCAAAAGTGCCATGACCTTACCAACTGACACCAAAGGATTTTGGATGTCTGTAGCATTCCTTTACATCACTGCTCGGCATTTTTACAGCACATTGTTTTTGCAGACGTAATAGCTTTTTGTACTTTTTGTACAGAGGTTTGTTACGGGTGAGTAGTCTCCTATTGCATTCGTGAAGGGATTTTCCTCCTAACCTCTTCCCAACATAAAGCACGAGCTCCTTTTGTCCTTTCTAAAAGTCTGCAGTCCCATCCTCCCTATCACCCCTCATAAAACACTTGGACAGTCATTGGGCAACGACCAGAGCCAAAATCTCTTAGAGTTGGCCAGCGGAGCATCTCTGCATTTTAGGAAAGAATAGGCCAAACCCAGATTCCTTCAGCTGTAGTTGAAATACTGCAGAGATTTGAAAAGCAACACAAAGAATGTCCTCCAAAAATCACCTTCCTGATGGGGGAGCGATGGACAGCGCTCGTAGTGTCTTTTTAGTTTCTGAGCTGTTCAGCCGGGGAGACTGAAATAAAAATGAATTTCTACTGCTAATGGTGAACATTTGTAGTGCTGTAGGACTGACTCTCTGTTGGAAATATATTCATGACAAAGTTAAAGCAAAGCTCCTAACAGAAAGTAAAAAGGTCAAAATGCAAATACAAATCCGATGCACTGAGAGTTAAACTAGATTTGCTGTGCTTTATATCACATATTCTCACATCCTCATGCTTCATAGTCCTCCACTAGCTGGCTCAACCGATCTCTGACATATGATGGGGCAAACTCTCTTTAGTTTCATTTTAAACATCTCATGAAACGTTAAACTCAAATTCAAACATTTTCACACTGTCTGCATGACAGATGGTGATAAATGTGTTGATCCCTCGACTTATCTTGGCTCAATATTTGGCCAAAATATTTGCCACAGCAAGATGGTGAACATAGCAACATTATGCCTGTATAGCAGCTAGCCTGAGCAACCAGCATGAGTAATTACAGCGTCACAGAGATGAGTCACTGTGTGCTATTTCTGGATGACAGTGGAGGTGTGTGGGATGAAGACACAAGCAAGCAAGGCTAGGCTAAGGAGCGCGGACACTTGTTAGCAGGTGCCGGCTGTGACGATTACTAACTGTGCTGTTTATATCCAAAGGCTGCGGCTGCCCGAAAGCTACTAAAAACACATCACACTCGAACACGATCACAGTAATTAGGAGCAAAGACCTTATTGTTCTTTTTTGAAGGAGAAATGAAGCCCTCTGGTGAGCCTCAAAACTGGAATATTTTAAATGGTTTTTAACCTTCAGGCAGCCAACTCCAACCCATTTACATGTATTACTGCCAAATTACGGACCTTGGTGGAAGTATATAGAGATGCAGTTTAATTTCTGCCCCCTCAGATTGTAGGTTTGCCTTTGAAAAATGTGACATGGTTCATTAAAAAACATGCAGGGTTATCACCAGCATTCAGTAAAATAATAAATGTCGCTCAGAGTAATGATTCTGTTGTTGGACATCAAACTAAATGTTCCTGTCACTACGGTCTTTGTATCGTGGAGCATAATGAAGTAATGAGTTCACACTGTGTCACAGTGCAGCAGCAGGAAGTGAGTCACTGTGACGCAGAATCATTTCCATGTTAAAGCCAACCTGAAATCTGAATTCTCCCCACATAACAAACTGCAGCTGAAGCCCTTTTCCCTCTTTATCTGTGCCTAAAGAACATAAAGCTGTTTGTGGAGCTTTGTTCCTCTTTAAGCTTCTGTAACGTCAGCCCGTATAGCTTAAAACCAAAGATACAAGTTAATCATAGGGTGAGAGGCTGGGTTCACCAGTGTGTCACAGACAGACAACCGTTCACTCACCCATTCATACCAAGAGTTTCTAATTAACCTGTCCCCACTAACTGCATGTCTTTGGAGTGTGGGAGGAAGCCGGAGTACCCGGAGAGAACTCGGCCTGATGGTGGAGTTGAACTCAGGACCGTCTTGCTGTGAGGCAACAGTGCTAACCGCCGTGCTGCCCACAAAGTTTATTATTATTATTGGTTTTTTAGTAGTAGGATGAGTCGGTGTAGTATTAAATAAAGTTACAATTTGTCCGTTAGAGATGTGACAAACATCTGCATTTTAAAGGAGCTTAATTCAGACGGTTTCTTTAGAGCTGAATGTGGCTTTAACACTGATCATTCACTTAGACTGTATATAAAAGATGGCTACTCCCATCTGTGACATCTGTTTGTCTGTAAACTGTTATTCTGAAGCCTTGAGCTGAGGACTGATGTCATCTTGTTTTTTGTTCATGCTAGATCTGATTGAAAACTGCAGACGCTGCTGGTCAGACAGCCAAACTGGTTTCTACATGTGCTAAATAATATTCCCATTTACAGTGAACTGGTTGATGAAGCGGGGGTTTACTGCTTGACTGACATTCATTTATTATGTAACACTTATTATGTACCGGTAACCAAATTTAAACCAGAACAATGTTTGGATTTGATAGGGACGGGGCTGCTATATTTGCCTTTTGGCTGACAACACCAAGGAGCGGGGAAGGGAGAGAAGGAGAGAGATATATATATATGAAGGATGTAGTTGGCAGAAAGCGAGTGACACGACGAGAATCATGAAGGTGGACAGGTAGCCAAGGCAACATTGTTAACACACCCTGGTAGCTTCTGCTTTGCCCTCATTCTTTGGTTTTTTATGTAAATAATTTCACATTGTGTATGTGTATTGTAGATTCCCTCCGTTTTCCCCGTAATATTTATTTGCTTTAAAAAAATTCAGATTATTAGTTGTTTTCTAGTTGACGTGTATGTGTGTGTGTGTTTAACTGTTAATGCAAACGGAGGAATAATGATGAGAGCAGGAGGCAGGTGGAAAAGTGGACAGGCTGTCAGATGCTCGATGGTAAATTGTCAACAAATATGTGACTTTAAATATTTTAAGATATTATCGAGGTCAAAAATAAGGCCAAGCTTTGTTTTGTGGTTCTAAATATGGTGATTGCAAACGACCAGTCCCTATGTTTAATTTTGCGATTAGAAAATAGTACATATGCAGTCAGGTTTTGTTTCCTCTTTCTGGTAGTTATCATTTTCACCAAATTAATTATGCATGCTTTAAAAGCTCCTGAACTCTCTGTGAAGTTCTAAACATAATCTCTAAAAATAAACCGACTGCAGCGACAGGCACGTCTAAAGACAAAGATAATGCCAGTCTGACCTTTAAGTTCATCCTCTGAGCTGCAGGATTTGGCCGTTTCCTTTGATTGGAGCTGGAGGAAGCAGTTCATCACAGCAGAGTCTGTGTCTCTGAGTCTCCCCCCCGAGACATTTATAGTCCAGCCTTACAGGAGAGTCGGGCCTGGAGAGAGGGGGGGGATGCCACTCGCATGATGCCAAAAGCCATCAAGGTTTGTCAGTTAGACTGCTGCTGCTCTATGATCACATGCTTTACTGTCAGAGTATCAAAGGTTATTAAAAAGATGAACATCATAAATAACGCACAATACTGGGTCGAATCTTCATTGTTTCCTTTAACAGACAATACATTTTAGTCCGTCCAGTATCTGCTGCTTATCCAGTCCCAGGGGCCGCGGTTTAAGCAGAGATCACCAGAACAGTCTATGGTGATGCAACATAATCACTCCAGTGTGTCCTGGTCCAGAATGCTGTGTCCAACTCACCTCAGCCATCCCATGCTCAGAGATGTTCAAACCACCTCAGCCAGCCATTCTCAGTGTGGTTGAGCAGCAGCTCAGCTCTGAGCTCCTCCTGAATGACTCAGCTCTTCGTCCCATCTCTAAAGCTGAGCCCAGAAAGCTCATTTTCACCACTTCTGTCCATAATCTTATCTCTTCAATCTCTATCCTCCGTCTGTAGGCACGGATGAGGGTAGGAACTTTATCTTCAGCATCCTGTTATCCCCTTATATTCCAGCTTTCCAGCATTTCAAGATAACATACCCCGTTGCCACATCTGGGTTACAAATCTGTTGATTTTCTTTTACCAGGATCTCTAAACTTTTGGAAAAACAGAAAGATTTGACTCACTCTGAGCTGCAGCCATCAGCTCGGTTACAACAACAGAAGAAGTGCCGTGCTACACGATACTATAGAGATGAAGGCGGGAGAGACTTGGACATGTTTTCAGGCCAATCAGTAAAACAACAGAAGTGTTGCATGTTCCCACTGAAGCATTTCAGACGGCTCTTATTGAGACATACTTGCTCTTTTTGTTTCTACAGGCATCATTATTACACAATGACCTCATTTACTGTAACTTCTCATTCCCAGTGTTACATCACGCCAGAGAGCAAAATAAACGGGAAACTGTAAAATCGCCACAATAAAAGTAAGAATGTGGGACGTTAAATTCAGAGAAACAGAATCGAGTTTATTTGGTAAGTTTGCATTTGATTATCCAGCTCCTGGTTCCTCGCAGCACTGATTCTTGTTCCTCCTCATGTTTGCAGCCTAAATCCAAAACACGCAGGACTACAGAACCCGACATCAAACGCTCTCCAAACCAGTGCTTCCTGATCTAAAAGCCTGTCGTTGAGGGCCGGCCGTCTTTGATCTCAAGTGGTAGCCCTGGCCCTCTCTAGGTGTGCGTTTTACAGTTTCTTAATTATAGCCAGGCTGCTGTCTGGAAGTGTTTACTGCAGCTAGCATGCTGGCAGGCAGCCTGGCAGCTAAATACTTATGAGGCAGATACTTCCTCTGCTTCAGCAGCAGCGGGCGAACCGAGGGCGATCTTTGCTGGCCTGCGTGGGGGATGGCCCTTGTGTTGCATGTCAGAAAAGCTTGGGAGAGCTGGTCCTTCATGAAACATGAAACATGTCACTGCTGACTTCTGTTTTCTTCTTCCTTCACTCATACTGAGGAGAAGTGATCCTGTAGAATCTGCAGTCCAGTGTTGGTTGTTTCGCACGTTTGCTCCAGAGATT